ACAAAGATGGAAATAATCCTGGTCGCTCCTAGGCCTCATGTGAGCATTCTTTAAAAGAATAGTCATTAAAAAAAGAATAGGCATTATACATGCCTTCATTTTGATGATAGAATGAGTACATGTAACCAATCAGCCTGAATTGTTCCTGTGACTTTAAAAGCACCTTCCACAGAATGGATATTTGGCACACATTCTGAGAATCTAACATGTGACAGGCACAAAGGATAGAGTAGAAAAAATCAGACATACGCCCTGGACTCCTGGAGCGGACAGTCTAGGTGAGGGACAGTCACTCAAACAAGTACCATATTTTGCCATGTATAATGCACACCCATGTTTCTGTGCACATTATACACAGGATTTTTGTACCCATTATTATACCCATGGTATGTGATCGTTATACCCATATATAATGCTCATCCTTACTTTTGCTTCAAAAACTTGAGCAAAAAAGTGTGCATTATCCATGGCAAAATTACAGTCAGGTAAGTTTGAGCACACAGAGGAGAGGGAGAGAGAGCCCTTTCTAGGTGCACAGGGAAGAAACAACTGACGTGGCCGGCGAGTCAGGGATGGAGAGGCCTGGAACTCCGTGGCTGTGGCAGGCAGAATTCAGAGACACCTCCCGGGGCCCCTGCCTTTGGGTAATACCCGCCACCCCCGCGTGTGGGGACAGGACTTGTGACTTGTTTCTGACTCAGAATGTGGCAGAGGTGGAGGGATTTTGCAGAGGTGATTAAGATCCCTAACCAGCAGGCTTTAAATTAATCAAGAGAGAGAAATCACCCTGGGTGGGCCTGGCCTAATCAGGCAGGCCCTTTATTTATTCATTTTTAATCCTCACCTGAAGATGTGTTTATTGATTTCAGCAGCAGAGGGAGAGAGAGAAATATCAATGTAAGAGAGAAACATCGATCGGTTGCCTCCTGCACGTGCCCCAGCAAGAGACTGAACCCGCAGCGTTCTGGTGTACAGGACAAGGCTCCAACCATTTGAGGCACCCAGCCAGGCCATCAGACACGTCTTTTAAACGGGGTCTGGAAATCAAAGACTCAGCGAAATGGAGACTCTCTCTCCATTTCTGGCCTTGAAAAAGCAAGCATCATGAATTCTACAGCTATAAGGAAATGGATTCTGCCAACAACATGAGGAAGCTGAGAAGCAGGTCCTTCCCAGCCCGGCCAACATCTTGACGACAGCCTTGCGAGGCCCTAAGCAGAGGCCCCAGCTAAGCCATGCCCAGGCTCCTGACCTCTGACAACTGCGAGGTAGTAAATGTGTATTATTTTAAGCACTAAGTTTGTGGTAATCTGTTACCAGGCAAATGATTACCAAACTGACAGGTTAGACAGGACTACCTCATGATATCTTCCTGGAGAAAGAAGACCTTTAGCGCTGAGCCTCTCAATTATCATTGCTGACCAACAGGACCCATGCTGAGTTTTCTGTATCCTCTCCGTGAAATCCAGGCCAAGTTTATGTCTAATATATGAGGATTTATTGAAATCCATCACCTGAGGATTTCCTGTGTGGTGCTCAGTGTAAATGCCTACTTGATACTAGAATTGAAGGCATAGAAAGTAGCACATACTTTTCCCTACTATTATCAATGTGCCTCACTTTATGCAAATAATGTGATATTGACAAAATATAAAAATTCTTTTTTCAGGTAGGATTCCATTTTCTCAGCTTTTGGTTCATTTAACCAATTCTCAAGAGTCTATAGAGCGCCTGTCATGCGCTGGAATGACGCACGACGCCAGACGGAAGGAAAGTTGAGCCATGTTGCTGGGCTTTGAGGAGCTCTAGAGAGAAACTGCATGTAGCAGGAAAAGTTAGAGAGCCATGAAACACTCAACTCTAAAAAGCTGGGATGAGGAGGGAATTGCAGAGCACAAAGGAGTAGAGAGAACAATGAGTCTGATTTCACAGACTTCCTCAGAAAACAAGGGAACAAACGTTCTTAGCTTTCCGTTGAATGAATACATGCAACAGGGGTTTGCGATCTCTTCCCCCAATTATTCATAAATCTTGCTTATTCAGAATTTTGGAACACTTTCAAAGTCACTGAGCTGAAACGTCGAGTTATCCAACCAGTGTCTCAACAGAAGTTATTCAGCAAATAATGTGTACCGAACACCTGCTACATCAAGTGCTGTGCTAGCAACTGAGAACACAGGGGCGCATCTGTCGGAATGTTTTAAACTGGAAAAAACAGAAAAGCCCATTCAAGTGGCTTAAACAGTAAACAGATTTATTCTCTCACCAAACAAGAAACCCCGAGGTAGGTCCGCTCCAAAGCTGGTTTATGTTGGAGCTCACCGACGGAATTCAGGATGCGGGTTCTCTTCAGCTTCCCATTTTCTTTGAGACAGTGGCTTGTCCTTAGCTGGCTCTCCTCACAGTGACGGGAGAGCTCCCACTGTCCCAGACGCCTCTTCACGCATAATACTTCACAAGTGCTGTTTCTTCCCACATGACTTTTTCTTTCTTATCCGTAAGGAAAAAAAACATATCTTTCCCAGAAATCCTCAGCTGACTTGCCCTTAAGTGTAATTAACCAGAATTATATCTCATGCTTATGCCTAAGCCGCTGAGAACCGCACAACCCGGGGCAGGGTCGGCCTCAGGAGAGTGGAGACAGTCAACAGATGGGGGTGTCTCTGGAAAGAAGGAGGCGGAATAAAGGGCACCGGAAAATGCTGTCTCGAGTGCTGTAATCAACGACAGCAGAAATGACTGTCCGCGCTGGGGAGTAGAAACAGCCTGACAGAGGGTGCACAGTTACAAATCGTCGCTAACACCGTGACCGGGGAGGACCGTGCGCTGTGAGATAGCAGGGCCTCACAGTGAGGTCGTAGATCAGGAAAGGCCGTTCAGAGGCCGTGAAAGAGGAGTAGGAACCAGCCAGGCAGAGAGCGTTCCAGGCGGAGGGATCAGGGTGGCGCCTTTGCGAGCAGAAAGGCGGTCGGGGCAGCGGGAGCCCTGGGAGGGAGGCGCCATGACAGGGAACGACTGCGCAGCGCACAGCGTCCTCCCTGTGCCTTTAGAAGCCTGGGCGCAGCGTGGAGGGTAGACCCAAAGGCGAGCTATGAGGAGGCCGTGCGTCCATCCGATGGTCTGGCAACAGGAAGGGTGGAGAGGAGGGGACAGGACCGAGGAGGAACGGCACTGTGGTGCTCTGGGGGGTGCGAGGGCGGGCCGTCCCAGGCCTTCCGGCCGAGGGGCACGGCCTGCTCCGAGACGCACACGCACACACGGAACTCTACGCAGGTACCACGTGGACGTCGGACGGCGAGGTCACAGGTGTGGGGGCTCGCGGGTGGGCCTGATTCCAGGGTGACTTGTGAAGGAAGGGGATGGATGCGCGGGACACTGAAGGCTGTGCAAGGCGGAGGTGCAGACGTGGGAAGGGAGGTTGGGGAGGGGAACCAGCCTCAGGCAAAGCAGTGGGGCAGGACCGGAAGGCCTGGAGGGAGGGGAGCAAGCAGTAGACTCTGTAGGGGCTTGTGAAGGGACATTCTGGGAAATGATCTGGAAAAGTCATGGCTGTCCTTTGAAGGAGAGTTCTGTGTGGCCGACTAGGATAATAAAATAAAAAGGGGCGGGGGGAAGCTTAAAAGTAAAGTCTAGCTTAGCTACCTAAGAACTCACCAATTAGCCACAAAGCCACTGAGTTTTCCTAGGAGCAGTCAATATGCAACCCGGGTTTTGATTATTTCCTGGATACACTAGCAGTGTCTCTTCCTAGCACCTCCATCACCTGCGGGTCATTGGCCAATGATTTCTAAGTTGTTTCTGGAATACATTCCTTCATCATGTACTGAGTGTTGGTGCTGGGGATTCTAGAACGAAGCGGTGGTACAAAGGAGGGAAAACGAGCCCTGTTACCTGGCATGTGGGGCTGGATCGCAGAGAGGCAGTGGCGTTTAACGGGCCTTCGCGCATGCGCAGGAGTTCGCCCGGCGAAGACGTGGGGTGGGAAGGCCATCCAAAGACGGGGAACGGGTGCGCGTTTGCTCCGTTCTCCGCCTTCAACCCTCCACGTCCTATAGAAATACAATTGTAACTTTTATTTTGGGGCTCTTAGGGAAGTTGTGCAATACATAGTGAGTTCTTTCTCTTGCTACAAGGACATTTTCTTTAATATTAACAAGGAGTCAGGATTTCAGTAAGTCCAATTGTTATACTCTGTACTCAGAAGGGTTCCTTAGGGAGATCTTCCTGATTTTTACTTTTTTGGGTCAACAAGGGAAAAAAATCTTTTAAAAATATTTTTGTTTTGTATTTTTTTTCCACTACCATTTAGTCCCCCTATACCCCCCTCACCCTCAGGGAAGGAGGTGACTAGCAGACACATCAGCCACCAATGAAACAGACCCCTTGCCTCTTCTGTTTTTCATGCAGGGATGGGAGAAGTCATAATTCACTGTCATACATGGATCCTGGTTTCAGTGTTGGCAGCAGATTGCTCCCTTCTGAGCATCTTATGTGTCCGTAAAAGCGACCTCAGACCCAGATGGACACCCAAGACCATCCTCGGGCATCCGAGATGTGCTAATGGTTCATTTTAGCTCAAGATGAAAGACAACTCTTTCAAGATGGTCTGTGAGGTTATGAGAAGGCGGGCGAGGAATTCACGTGAGGCTGGAGCAAACTGCCCTCCCACCCAACGCCCTCATTTAACAAGAGTGTGGTGATCAGAGCCCAGGGAGGCACGTGGGCCTGCCCAGGTTGCCGGGGCAGAGCCCTGACCCAGAGCTTTGGCAGAAGCAGGGGAAGACAGAGAGGACAGGTCGGGTGACAGGGCAGAAGCATTTTGGGGAACTGATCCATCGCAGCAGCATCTGATGTACTTCCTCTCTCCCCCACACCCCGCCCCGCCTTGCCCTATCTCTCTGTCTCTTTCCTTTTCTCTCCTGGCAGGGTTATGCGTCAGTTTCCGAAAGGTGGGGACATTTCCTGACGCCTTTGCAACACTGGGAAGCTGTCTTAAATGAGGTCGGACCCATTCGGAGCACCAGGCTGGGCAAAGTGAAGGCCTGGGCCGGCCCTGCTGGGGAAGGGCCCCACTCACCCTCTCCCTGCCTCCGGCCAGCACGCACGGTCCCCTGGTGTCCGCCCGACCATGTCTCTGGCTGAGGCCATCCGCCTCTGGAATGACGGGGTGCTGGCAGCCGACAAGAAGGACTGGAAGGGAGCCCTGGACGCCTTCTCTGCAATCCAGGACCCGCACTCCAGGATTTGTTTCAACATGGGCTGCATATACACCATCCTGGAGAATTGGGCAGCGGCAGAAAAGGTGAGTGAGTGGAGGTTCCTTTCCCCTGGGGGCCCCTCTCAGCCGTTCCCAGCCCTGGCTGCCCTGAAGAAACCTCCTGGGAGCTGTGCAAGAACAAAAGCTGCCCAGGCCCCACCCACAGAGATCCTGATTTAATTGGTCTGGGGAGGGGCGTGGAAGCCCTTCATCTTTAAAAGTTCCCCAGGTGGTTCGAACAGGCTGCAGGGCTGAGAACCCCTGTGGGAGATGCTCTCCTTTCCTCTCCATCTACGAACTGCTCGTCCCTCTGGAATTGTTCTCTAACCCCTTCAAGGAGATGCCCCTGGTTCTATCTTCGTCCATGAACTCCTACTGGCCACACAAGGGATCTGCGTCTCACTGCTTCGCACCTGACGCTAAAGCACCTCTTTTTGGCTTTCCTGGGCTTTCACCTGCAGGGTGAGCTTTGTCTGCCCAAGAGGTCAAGAGGAGGCACTAAAGTAAAATAGGTCTCACCTATGTGACAATTCATCTACGTGACAATTACACGCCACACTCTTTTAAGGATGTTGAGGCTGGTGGAAGGAAATCATATTGTGATTGGTTAATGATGTCTGCCGGGGGCACAGTGTGGGGCATTTCAGCATCTCTTTCAAGTAGTTTTTCTCCTGTATCCCCGGGTTGAGCATTCAAGCATCGCCTTTAGGATGGGTTACGGGAAGCTGGAAAGGGTGTGGAATTTGGAAGCAGATCTAGAATCAAATCCCAGCTCTGCCTCTCTCTGGACCTTGGGTCCTCAGCAAGTCATGTAACTTCCAGCTCTCAGAGTCTCAAGGGGTTGAACATCTTGAGGATTAAGTGAGAAGCCACCTGTTAAACTGCTGCGTCACTCCGCACACGGGTGCAAGTGTTAGTTCTTGTTTTCATCTTTTAGCTGGTCTTTGCAAGTCCCTGTGGACAGATGGCTGACTCCCCAGCCCCCTTCTAGAGCCAGTTCCTCCCACAGCCATCCTCGCTGTGACCGGCAGTGAGCAAAGAGAGCAAGGAGAGAAGCTACTTGGAAGGACCCACACAGACCGAAAAGTCCATCTCGGGTCCAGAGTGGGCAGGAGCATGCGAGGGCCCCCGCCTCCTCTCTGGGGACTGCCAGGGGGCTGCGCAAATAGCAGCACAGATTCCGGGGGCTTCTGGAGGCCCAGTGCACGCTGCAGGGGAGAAGCCGGCCTGGGATGGCGGCGCCAGCTGGGACCCTCGCCAGGCTGCGCAGGCCCTGCTCCCCTCCAGCTCTGGCTGCGCTCCGGGCTTCTCCCTGCATTCTTCTGCTGCTCACTCCCTCTGCCTTTCTCCAATTTCCTGCTTGAGTCCTTACTCCTGGTATTTTACATGCACTTACTATTATTATTATCATCATCATCCTCACCAGAGCACATGGTTTCATTGCTTTTGGAGGGGGGAGAGAAGAGAGAAACATCATCAATTGGTTGCCCTCAGTACGTGCCCCAATGGGGGATCGAACCCTCAATGTTAGGTGTATGGAACCAGCCTCCAACCCACCAAGCCACACTGGCCAGGGGTATTTGTTATCATTTTAATCGTGTAATACTGATATAACAAATCTATATAACAAATAAATATAATACTGTATATGACATTTTAATTGTTTTCATATTTCATTGCTTCTATTATTTTAATCCTATTGGTAGTCTTGAAAGGCATAAATTAATATCACATTCTACCAAGGAGATTACTAAGGTCAAGGGAGATTAGGTAACCTGCCTCATGGCATGCCACCAGGAAGTGACAACACAGGGTGTTCTGACCCTGGTGTCACCGTAAAGACACGAATGATTCTCGAGACCCTTCTGGCCTCACGCTCTGGCTCACGTCCCACCTCCTCCCTGCCTGGCCCCGCGGCCACCAACGGACCTCCCCCTCTCCGCAGGCCTTCTCCAGAAGCATTAACCGAGACAAGCACCTGGCGGTCGCCTACTTCCAACGAGGCATGCTCTACTACCAGATGGAGAAGTAAGTGGTCCGGCGTTGCGCAAGCTGCAGACATTCGCAGAGCAGCCAGAGCAGGGCTCAGTGCTGGGCGTTTGAGGAGTATCTCTCCAGCCTCTGGTGCGCAGTGGGACTGGACCTTCCCCAGGCAGTTTTGCAACAAATCGGCCCGAGGCAGAAGCCTTCCCGGGCTGGGAGGGTAGGCCTGCCACCCCATTAGAAATCAGCGGTGTCACAGCTCACAGCGAGCCTGCATAAGCACGGCAGGCCGGTGGTCAGCTGGCATGGAACCCACAGGCATCCCTCGCGGGTTGCCGTGGCCCGGCGTGGGGTGCTGGTTGTAAACTGTCGGCCATTGAGGGATTGCCCCTGGGGGCCCCCTCCTGTGGGGCATTGACCTGCCACACAGTGAGGGTTATTGTGAAAGCACATCAAACCTTCCTTCGTTTCTGCAGATTGTGTTTTCAAAAGCCTAGTTTAATCCATGCAATGAAATGCTTTTCAGCCACCAGAATAAGAATACAAACTATTAATATGATGTGTACAAGAATATATCGATATAGATAAATAAGTAGCATATATATTAACCTAGAAAAAAGTTCACAGGAGTTGTTAAATTTAAAACACAGGTTTCGAACAGTACCTATAGCACAAGCCCATTTCTGTCTCACAAAATAGTCTGAAAGGCCATAGACCAAAACGTTGTCAGCAGTTCTCTCTGGCTGGTGAAGTGATAGGGATTTCCATTTTCTGCCATCCGTCTGTCTGTATTTTCCGGTGTGTTTACAGTCAACACAAAATAACTAGTAAAAAGATAAATAGGAAATCAAAGTTAATCTCATTTTCATTCCCCTCCCCCAAAATACCCCCAAAACGACCATGCAAATAACAAAGGGAAAATAGGTTAAGTATTAACTTAAAATGTTTTAGGGGATGACAAGCCTTTGTAGAAAGGGTTCACTCCATTGGTGGGCACAGCTCTAGGGAAGAAGATTTCAGCTCAGGCTAATGAAGAACTTGCAGCAAAAATGGTCAGAGCCTGGTGTCTACGTGCGTGCACACGCGTGCATATAGCAGGTGAGGCAGGGCGTTGCTGGGGCAGAGAGGAGGCTGCAGACAACGTCCAGGCATTGGGTGGGCTGGGCTCTGATCCTAGGGTTTGGTCGAAATCCAAACCCAGTAAGCCACGGCGCCCAACCGTTGCCAGGGGCAACTACAAGAAGCTCAGAAGACTTCCAAGATGTAGATGCAGTTGCTTCAAGCAAGGGAAGCAAGGTCTTCCCAAAAGAAAAACCACACAGAGGCAATCAGGAGGAAAAGCCTGGACCTGCGGTGTGTGGAGTTCGCAGGGCAGCCCGGGCACCAATCCCCCAGCTGATCTTTGATCTTAAAAGACGAACTGGCAGCCCTTCCTTTAATTAGCTCCAACAGCCTATAATGAGGAAAGATACTGTTAAGAGGAAAGGCTCCCAGGAGAAATTTCTACCTGCAAATGCCCAGAAGTCCCTGAGCCTGCAAGGCTTGGAGTTTGAGAATTAGAAACATTTTAGAAAGATCTAGAAGACAGACCCAGAATTCAATTAACATGTGATTAATAGTAGTTAAATCTGAGAGAGAAATCCTCCAAATTTCACTGATAACTCGACGAGGATCTATTGAGGAAATGATATAAACGAGGCACTGTTCTCCACCGGAAGTTCCTCCTTTGCTTTTGCTCATAGGCATCGGCCCCCCCCCCGCCCCCGCCCCCCCCATCAAGGCTCTGCTCTCGACTCCTTGCCCTTAGGTCACTGTAGCAGTGGTTGCTAAGTGGCAGAATGTGCGGGGTATCTTCCCAGAAGCACACACAGTGCACGCACTTTCCCATGCGGCTTCAGGGGGGTCAACGCCCCCTGAACATCCATACGTGAAGCCTTAGGGATCCCACCTTCTCCCGTAGCGTGGGCTCCCACTGGTAGCCCGCTGGCTCCTAAATCTCTACCTGGGACCAACCCAGGGTGCCTCTTTTTCCTATACCTTGTCAAGCTGACCTCTTAAACTCACCCATTCTTCTCCATCCCCCCCAGCACGACCCTGGTTTAGACCCTCATTTTTCCCCAAGACTCTGTTGCAATCACTTCCAAACTGATTTCTCAGCCACCAGTCTTGCCTTGTCCACCCTTATTCCAGGCTGATCTTTAAAATAATTGATGTTACCTGCTTAAGAGCTGTCGGTGGACCCCACACTGTGGGATAAAGGCCAATCTCCTCGCCTGTTCCTGTGTGGCCTGGCTGCAGCCCGCCCGCCCACTGACACTCCACGGGTCTGCCCAGCCACTCAGCCCCGAAGGTGGGTGCCCTCTCTTTGGGTGCCACCTTTTAGAACGTCTGTCTTCTCTCTGACCGATATTCACTGAGATATTTGTCTCCTTCGCTACTCTGTGAGTTTCTAGATAGAAGAAATCTCTACTTACTCACTCTTGTTTTTCAGCATTGAGTATAGTAGTTAATACTTGCTAGGTAAATTAATTAAACTAAAGGGAGAAAAATACACCCTCTGCTTGCAGGAATTTACTAAAAGGGAAAGGGGTCACAAACACCTGTGACTATAACGCAAGGCAGAAGGGGGCAAAGGCTGTAAGAGATATTTTAAAACAAGGGCCATGGGGAACGAACTAGAAAAATGGCTTCTTGGTGAGTGGGCTCCGAATTCCCCAGATTACAGCGGGGCTCCTGTTCGGGCGATAATGTCATGGGTGTGTTTTTCTCTCCGCTTTCCCCGCTTCCATACGTCCTGTTGCTCTCCCGTCATTATAGAGTCCCACCGAGCATCGTTAGAGCACCTGTCTGGGAAGGCAGGTGGTGTCTCGGTGACCAGGGCCAGACCGTCTCACTTCTCTGCCCCCGGTCTGCCATCCGAAAGGGGAAGGAAGCTCTCGGTGTTCCACATCCTGGGCCCTATGACTGCAAGGGCTGTGATCATAACTGTGAGACCCTTTAGATGGTACTGGCCCAATGAGGTGACGCAGCAAAGTCTGTTCTGCAGCCTTTGAAACTGGAAACTGTGACCTCTAGCCGGTCACAGGTGTGTTTGACATTTTGGCTTTTCTCAGCTGCTAAAACTCTTGTTATCCTGGACTGCGGGATGCATGGGGCGTGGGTAGAACGGGAACACTCGTGAACAGCAGTTACTAAGGAAACTTTTCAGTGAGGATTATAAACCTCTCAGGCTCAGAGTTTGTGGGCGCTGCCCTGCCGAGCTCCTGCCGCCGGGCGAGCGGGGATGGCTCAGGTCAGCGCAGCCAGGGCGCCCGGCAGGAAGCTGCCCGCCGCACCCTGGCCTTCCAGGGGACGCTGTGCTTTCCAAATGGCACCGAAGAGAGATGAAGGAGGGCTGGAGGCGGCCGAAGCTCCACGGCTCGGCCCCGCAGCACCCGGGTGCCTGCTCCCCTGGAGTTACGCACTGAGCTGAACCGGGCCGGCGCAGCGGGCAGCGGGGCTGTGCGCCCAGGCGGGTGTCCCTGCGGCGGCGCAGCTCCCGGGAGGCAGGCGGGGGCTGAGCGGGGGCGGTCGCGGGCAGCTGGCGAGGCTTTTAAAGACACGTTTAAAAACCGACATTCAGCAGAGCGCTCCCCACCGATGTTTAACACAAAGCGAGCACTTTGAATACAGATAATTTGTGGGTTCTTTCTCTCTCCCGCGGGGCCCAGAGTTTTAGACATCTTGTTGGGCTGGAGAATTATGAGAAGGATTTCGCTGGGGTCATTCAATGCCAGGTGACGCGGCGGTGTCGCTGCACAGGTGAAATTCATCCGCTTCGCCAGGGCTTTTGCCACGGAGGCAGCTCATTGTGGGTAAATGCTGACGGTACCCGGGAACGTGCCCTCCGAGGACGGCGACTGTCCCACACGCAGACAGGGGACGCCAGGGAACTGCATGTGCGCGCAACAGGGCGCCTGCGTTCCCCCTACCCCTCCCTCTTGGCTCAGTGAGTCGGAACCAGGACCCCAATCCTCCAGCTTAGAAAGAAGGCGCAAAAACACCTAAAGAAAAGGTGTAGCGATCTTGACGTGCTTCCTGTTTCCTAAGGAGGAGCTTGCATGCTTTTCATAGCGTTTACACTCATCTTACTAACAATGAAGGTCTGTTAGAGGAAGCCTTTCTCCTGTTTCTCCCACTACTGCTGCCGCCACTGCTGTCAAACGCAGGGGTGACAGAAGGCTCAGCTTCTCCCCCAACCACGTGGGGACACGTTTCTTAGGCCTCTCTCCGCAGCCCGCCCTCCTGGTCCACACTCCACACTCCCCTGAGATCAGAGCTCCAGCTTCTACAACCCTGTGCTTTTCTCTCCCGGTAATACAGCCTAGAGTGTTAAGGAACCAGGTACCAAATGGTTGGCATGTGAACTTAATTAACAGTTTTAGAGCTGAAAAAAAATGTAATAATAATAATAATAAAAATTACTATGTGTGACGGACACCTACCATCCTAAGCCCCTGAATGCTTCACCCCGTTTAGCTCTCACAGCCCTGGGAGGCACGTGCCCCTGTTATTCTCTATTTCTGAAGACGAAGAAACAATCTTAGAGACATTAAACAACTTGTCCTTTGTCACTAGATAGTAAGTGGCAGAGCCAGGGGTGAAGTCCATGTGGTTTTGACTCCAGAAATTAGATCTGGGGCCACCTATGGGCAGGCTCCTCATACGATAGGCGCCTTGAATACAATTCGCTTCTGGTACACAATACACTCCTTATATTATGGACCCAGAGCCTGAGGCCATGGAAATAACTCACCAGGGTCCCCTGGGCAGGGGCACAGCTAATGGACGTGGTCCCAGGCCCCTGGCCACTGTCCTTGGCCACCTTCATGACACCATACCACCCCCTAGAGTCCCCCGCGGCCAGAGGCCGCATTCCAGGCTCGCCTCCAAGAGAAGCCACATGTGGCAGCTCTGGGTCAGACAGTGGCCTGGGGACTTGTGGTTCAGTGCCAGGTGGGAGCCACACTAGCAGTGAAATCGGTCCCTTCCCGGCCAGGTGATGGGGGGTGGGGTGAAGGCAGCTTGTTTTCTGCTGCTCCCCCAGCCCCACCGCCCCACACCCTGCAGCCCAGCAACGGCTCCCTCCCCCCGGGCAGGCAGGTCGGGGGCAGACAAGGGAGACACGGTCCAGGTCCTGCCCCCGGGTCTGTGGGCCCTGCCGATGTGACCGGCCGCATTCCCCGCCCCGAATCCATGACAGCAGCCCAGGAACACCCGGCGCTGGTCAGCACAAGGCCAACCCAGGAACGCATAGAGCCCTGCCAGGAGCAGGGTTAGGGATGCTGTTACTCAAGGGGTGGCTTCTTTTTTCCAAAGTGAGTGGAAGGGGAGGGAGGGGGGAGGAGACTAAGCAAGCCACAAAACCAGGAGCTGAACGGGACTAGAAGCAGCCATGGAGAAGGCGGCTCTGGGCACGAGGGCATGTCAGCGGCCGTGGGAGGGGCCCCGGAGCAGCGTCCCTGCGTCAGGCTGGCCTGGCCTCGTGCTGGGAGTGAGGAGCGAGCGGTCCTCTGCACCACCTCTGCACCACCTCTGCACCACCTCTGCACCACCTTGCGGGGACCCAGGGTCCCAGCAGGTGCTGGCTCTGCCTGGAGCTCTCAGGGGAAGAATGGGGGCTCTTTTGCAAAGTGACAAACCTGTTGTCAGAAAGGTGGGTGTTGTACGCAGTGAACAGAGAAGGAAATACCCCAGCTGCCTGAGCCTGGGGGCCAGCCGGGGTGCCCAACCCCAGGGGCACCTTGCGCCCTGAGTTCTATACAGAAGTAGAGCTCCAGGCTGGCAGGGGGATGGATGGAGAAGGGGACGCAGACACACATTTTATTCCACAATTTTCCCTTTGTCCCTAGATTGGTTTATTCTCTCCCTCCATCCTGCAGATACGATTCAGCGATCCGGGACCTTAAGGAGGCCTTGACTCAGCTTCGAGGGAACCAACTGATAGACTACAAGATCCTGGGGCTGCAGTTCAAGCTGTTTTCCTGCGAGGTAAGGAGGATGGGCCCGGCCCGGACACGCGTGTGCTGGCCTGTGAAAGCATTTGTAGTAATTGGCGTCACTCAGGTTGATACACAGTTTGCCCAGCATTACTCTAACAAGTCCAAATCACAGGTTCACCATCCATGCAGGACCTGCCGCGGCCTTGCTCAGTTCCCACGTTACAGACCACGCTCTTTGCTACTAACTGTTCTGGTCTCAAGTCCTCAGTTGATACCCAAAGAGAGAGTGAGGGTAATGTGGCACAAATCTGTCCCCTCTCGCTCAAAGAACAGCTCAACGCACACATTTAGGAATGGTCCCTGTAGAAGGATAACATATTTTCCCTCTTACCAAGCAGGAGAAGCACGACTGGCTTTGATTTCTCACGTTAGCACGCTGTCTCCAGCCCACACCCCTCTTAAACCTCAAATATCCCGGTAGCTTTGAAAAGTGAAATCCCTGCAAATCTCCCAGATCTTTATCTGGAAGAATCAGGGGGAAAAGCCCCTTTGCTTTTGTTCCTCAGGCGGGAGAAGCCAAGTGTTTCAGGGTAGCCCAGGGCTAATAATAATGTCCACAGCTGCACAGGCCCCTGGGGACATGTGTCCCCACCCAGCCCTTACTGCCAGCAGGCTAGCAACGTACTCCACTTCTCCCAGTCTGGGGAATGGGGCTTTGCCATGGGGATTGCTGGCATTTGGCCGGCTTCTAGAGCAGGGTTCCTCAACCGTGGCACTTCTGCTAAGTGGGCCTGGAAGGGGCTGTCCCGTGCATTGTAGGATGTTCAGCAGCATCGCTGGTCTCTCCCCACTAGATGCCAGTCACACTGCACCCCCAGTGTGGCAACCTAAAATATCCCTAGGCATGACCAGTCACCCCAGATCGAGAACCGCTTATGTAGATTGAACGGTTGGGGGACCCAGGAGCTCGAGAGTGAGAATCATGAGCCAGTGGCGTCAAAGCAGCGCCCCATGGGAGGAATGTTCCTCCTGAAATTGACATCAAGATGACCCTGGGGCAGGGAACACTGGACTTCCCGAGGCCTCAGGCCCTTCTGCCACACAGGACTCTCCAGTCACCTCCCTACTTCTAGCGCCACCCCTGCCTCAGAGTGCAACTCTGGCTCAGGGAAATCGCACCATCCTTTTTGAAAAGAGGCCCAATGTTTTCCAGTCAGGGAGTCATAAAAACGCGGTGTTGCCAAGGTCTAAAAAGAAGGTGGCTGGGAACGGAATAGGACGTTTTAAACAACCTTGAATTGTCCTTTCTTCCTGCACCCATGGTGGGGGCGCTGGGCCAGCCAAGTGTGCCTGTGGAAGGCAACCAACCGCTCACGGAGGCTCAGTTTTTTGTTTTGTTTTTTAAAATCTTGCTGGTGCATCCAAAAGACTTGATTCTATGTGTAAGCTGTGATGCATAACAACTACACACACACTCATGAACCTACCACCCGACTCAAGACCTGGGAAATTATCGCCGTCGGATGGGTGAACGGGTAGTTCCCTCCTGCCCAGGGGCGGTGCCGTGCGAGGCTTGTCCCGAGTCCCTTTCCAGCTCTTGTCCATCGGGTAGTGGAGTGTCCTCATTCCTGTATGACTGTCGCACAGTCTTGTGAGTGCCATGTCCCTGGCAGGCTTCCGGGGAGCCGGTGCAGGACACTGCATCTGGAACCCTCTGCCCCCCGCCCCCGCTGCCCCGCACACGTCCGCTCTCCCAGCCCAGGCTCAGTGGCAGGGGCTGTTTGGAGAGGCCACACACATGTATCTTATTCCCAGCGCTTCAAGGGGTCTTGAGCCTGTCACTCTTCTTGATATGAAAGCCACACAATAGCTCTTGTTTCCTCCTGACCTACCTGGTTGTCCAAAAAATGTACCCGAGTCGGATTAATGTATCACGTGAGGTTCGCTTAACACCGTCCTGTGCCATGCAGGATTCAGGAGCAAGACGGATGGTGCTGAGCTCCAGGCCTTCCCAGGAGAGCTGGGGGGGTCGGGTGGGGGGAGAAATGTTGCCAGGAGCTCATGCGAGAGCATCCCCGGTGCCTAGATTTGGAGCAGCTTCTGGTTTTACGGCGTGGCCTGTGCTTTTCTAGGTCTTATATAACATCGCTTTCATGCACGCCAAGAAGGAGGAATGGAAAAAGGCTGAAGAGCAGTTAGCATTGGCCATGAGCATGAAGTCTGAACCGAGGCATTCCAAAATCGACAAAGCCATGGAATGCATCTGGGTAAGCGGCCGGTGATGTGGGCGGGGAGAGCATGTCATTGGATTTTTATTTGTTTCCGGGGACGTGCGGATTGAGAAACCATAGAAATGGTGCTTTTACTTTCTCCGGGTCCCGGGCAGTACTGATCTGAGGGTATAATTTCAAGCAGGGGCTTGAATCTGGAAGTGCTGAGAAGCCGGGGCCTAGAGTATGGGACCGCGAGCCCTGCCCGGGGTGGCCACCTCTCTTCCACCCCCAAGGAGGGCTCCATCTGTGGCAGCAAAGGGGAGCAGGAGGCTGAGGGCCAGGGCCAAGCGCGTGAGGGCAGAGGCTGTGCCTGCCCGCCCCCTGGGAGTCCTGAGCCGGGCACTGTGCCAGGCACACGACCATGCTCATCGAAAATGCCTTGGTTATATAAACAAACGGTAAAAAGGAGCCATCACTTGTCTGAGCACATTTGGGATGCAGCTCATTTTAAAGCAGAATTTTAAAACGCCAGGAACAAGTGGGTCCAAGTTGGTCTTTACATTGCTGTCCTTGTCTGTAGACACCGATCCCAAGACAGCTCTGTTCTGAGCCTCCCTTGTGGGAACGGTGCCTCCTATGCTGTGAGTGACAGCCCCACCCAAGCCACGCAGAGTGGGAGAGGGGCAGCTCCCCCGGGAAAAGAGGGTGCTGGGAAAACAGCACTGGCAGATGTCCACACGGCGTCTCCGTGAAGGGCGACTTTGAAACCCACCTTTCCCACCTTAGACACTCCGGACTGGAACACGTTCCATCCTTCCACATTTGGAAAAAGCACTTTTGTGAGGTGCTCTCAGTGGATCCTTGCATGTGAGGCAGGCAGGACAAGCCTCGTTACTTGCGCCTGGCAGGTGAGGAAATACTCTGCTGTCTGTGTTGCAGAAGCAGAAGCTGTACGAGCCGGTGGTGATCCCCGTGGGCAGGCTTTTTCGACCCAATGAGAAGCAAGTGGCCCAGCTGGTGAAGAAGGACTACCTAGGCAAGGCTACGGTAGGTGGATCCCTCAGCCTCCCCGGGTCTCCTAAGACATGGGCCATGCGGAGCACGGGGGGAGGGGCTCTTAGGAAAAAGGGCTTCCCTCTTGGGGTTCTGCCCTGGGTTGGCCAGAGAGACTGTTTGCAGTACGGAGGTCTTGTTGAAAGATGCTTCTAGTTTACTTTCTCTGGGCTCCTCTCATCCCTCCCTTCCAGCCTGGCCCTGAGCGAGGGCCGACTCCCAGAGGCTGAGCCTTGGGGACTGAGCCAGTGAGAAGAAGCCACAGCTCTGAGGCGTTCACTCAGTGTGGAGGGGACATGTCAGGGGAATGGACCCGCGTGGCATCTTCTTGGCTTCATGTGCCCTGTGGCCCCACTTGCCCAGCCCTGTGCCTAGACTGGAGTTCTTCAGAGTCCTGGTCTCTAACCCTTTTGGGAATGACCCACAGTTAGTTGGCAGCCCCCTTCCAAAGCTGCCCGTGACTATGACACCTTTGTAGGGCTAAAGTCACCTACCGCTGGGGTAGCTCAATCTGGCGCGGTAGAGAGACAGGGTTAGTGGAAACCCCAGTGTTCGTCAATGGCTGAGTGGATAAACAAAATGCCATATAGCCATCCAATGGGATAGAAGTACCAACACAAGTTACAACGTGGATGAACCTTGAAAAGATTGTGCTATGTGAAGGAAGCCAGACACAAGAGCCGCATGCTACGGAATCCCATTTATAGGAAATACCTAGGATAGGTCAATGCACAGAAATAGAAAGCAAGCTGGAGACTGCCAGGTGCAAGGAGGAGAGGGGATGTGGACTCACTGCTCAATGGGTGTGGCATTTCTCTGGGGGCTGGTGAAAATGCTTTGGCACCAGAGAGGCGCGGTGGTTGCACAGCGTCACAAATGTGCTAAATACCACTGTATCGTTCACTTTAAAATGGGCAACAGTATATTATGTAAATTTCACCACAATAAAAAAATTCTGAGAGAGGGAGGGCGTGCTGGGTTAGTGGGGGCAGGGTGGGTACTGGTTTCTGCAGTTGCTGAAACTTCTAACCCACGGGGTCAGCCATTCAGTCCCTACCCACTGTCCACCTCTGGAGCCAGGCGCCAGCGTGAATGGAGCCCGGGCGTGAGAATGGGTCCCGGGTGTGAGAAAGGAGGGCACTTGATGGGGAAACAGGGCTGGCTGAGCCCTCACGCCCTTCTTCCTCTGTCTCAGGTGGTGGCGTCTGTGGTGGATCAAGACAATTTCTCAGGGTTCGCGCCTCTGCAGCCACAGGTGAGGTGGTCCTGCCTTCTCGGGAGACCTCGGTCTCCTGAGCTCTTTGTGAAACGTCCAACAGGGGAGAATGTTTCTGCCGAGTGGCTTTGTTTTGAGGGCTCCTTCACCTGAGCTGCCCGGGCTGCCGAGGGCGTCTGCCTGCTCCTCCTGGTGTCCTGGGTTCCATGACTGGTGGGAATGAAGCAGTTTGAGGCTTAACCAGCCTCAAGGCCTCCAGCGACGAGCACCCCTGCTTCCCCTCACCCCCAACGGCCAGTGCTTGCTTCTCTACGTTCTAAGAAAGCTGTTGACCGTCTCTCCTGAAGCTCAGGCCCTTCCCTCAGAAACCTGAAACGCAAGCTGGCACGGGCGTTTGAACAGTTCTTCTTTTTGGACCTGGGCTAGCCGGGGGCTCCCGTGGGGGCCGGGGCCTGAGGCCGGGAGCTGTCCTGGCTGCGTCCATCTGCCTCCGATCAGGGGTTCCCTGGGGAGCGCAGGGAGGGTGCCCGCAGTGAACCATTTTTGTGCCTGTGCTGGGAAGAGCGTCCGGCAGGCCGAGGGGAACCTGAGCTGTGTTGCAAGGGAACAGGGAGGGCAAGGGCGCCCCTGCGTGCCTGAGGGCAGCGCTGACAGCCAGCCCGGGTCAGAACGGTGGCCGCTGGCCCTGAAGGTGACCCGTGCTGAGGCTCTGGAGGGTGAGATAAGCGAAGGAGAATAGAGATCCAGATCCTCTGATCTCGTTCTCACAGGAACTTGTGGGAAACCTTGCAAAGACCCTTGGCCCCAAGGGGAGACGACTCCCAGAGCACTGGGCTCCGTGGGACGACCCAGCGTGGAACCGGGGCCACGCAGGGAAAGGGGACTCCTGGCCAGTGGCTCTTCAGTTTAAATACCCGCAAGCGTCATGTAATACAGCAGACATTAATTATAGAACAGCTTTTGGAAACTGTCCTAACGAAGGGACAGAACTCAAGGTCAAAAGCGTCCTCATGATGCCGTGTTGCCCTGTGACAGCTAAACATCCCCCAGAAACCAGGTCTGGCTGAAGACCAATCGCTGCGCCGGCGAAACCTGCGCCCAGGGAGCGGGTGGGAGGTGTTATTTTCCAGCGTGGAGCCGGGGTCTGCCGCGCGGTCTCCCTAGACGGAGTCTGATGGAACCAGAAAGCGCATCCTTTGATTTTCTGCTCTGGGAAGAAGGTTCGAATTACCATTAATAGTCTGCTCTCTCTTTCTTTCCTGCCCTGCTGGTTTTCATTTCTCCCGAACGTTCAATAGGCCGCTGGGCCTCCACCCAGGCCCAAAACGCCAGAGATCTTCAGGTAAGTTAGACTCAGATCGCTGCGCAGGCGGGCCCCGCCCCAGCCCGGACCGGTGGCCGCGCAGGGGCGGAGAAAATGAAGCTGGGGTTGGGGGCCCCTCTGCGGCGGGACGGACCCGGGGGGCCTAGCGACAGCGCCAAGGTGTCCCTGTGTCCCCATGTCAATGTGCACAGCCACCATGTAGTGAGGGTTGTTGCGGAAGGGCAGTAGTGCCCCATGGAACACAGCAGCCCCCCACCCCCCCGCCACGAGGCCAAGCCCCCCGGAGCCAGGCGTCCTGCTCAGGAGTTCCAGGGTGTCCGGGGCGCGTCTCCCAGCTCTGAGTCCCCTGTGCTTGTCCCATAGTGGGAGGGGATGCGGTCCAGGCCAGGCAGTGGACGGAGTCTGTGTCTACCCCTCAGGGCTCTGGAAGGGGAGCCTCACCGTGTGCTGTTCGGGTTTGTGCCCGAGACACCGGAGGAGCTCCAGGTCATGCCCGGGAACATCGTCTTCGTCTTGAAGAAGGGCATCGATAACTGGGCCACAGTCATGTTCAACGGGCAGGTACGCAGAGGCCCCGGGGGTTGGGTTTGGTGGGCATGGGATCCTGGCGGCCAACGACAGAGCTTTCTGAGCACCAGTGTATGCTGCCCTCTTTGCAGAAGGGGCTCGTGCCCTGCAACTACCTGGAGCCAGTGGAGCTGCGGATCCAGCCTCAGCAGCAGCCTCAGGTACGGGGGGGGGGGGGGGGGGACCGGGGGCGTGGTGTTGGGGGCAGGCAGGGCCTGCCCCAGCCCCACCCCAAACACTCACAGGCCTCTTGCCATCTTCATGATCACTGAAGACAGACTTGCTAGCCCTGGGCCTGTCTCTTGTGGCACCAGCTGCCCGGAGCTGAGCCTGGGACGAGGGGAAAGGCCCCGATGTGCTGAGTGGGGGCATCTTCAGGACCCCCTGAGCCCACTCACCTTTGCGATTCCTCCTGGTCACAGGTGACATGGGACCCAAAGCCCGTAGTATATGACGGTTAGATCTTCCCTGAAATGTCCTCTTTACCTGGAAAAGTAGTCAATGCTTTCGCTGGTGAAATGCCATTTAAGAAAAAGAAAGAAAAGAGGCCTGCTTTAGAGCACTGCCTGAGAAGGCTTTGCCCATCACTGCTTCTGAAGACGCCACCACCCCCTCCGTTGCCCCTCAAGGGCCCGCCCTTCTGCTGGGCCTGTGAGTGGCCTTTGTTGGACCTAAGCAGGGCATAGATGGCTGAGGGCCGTGGAACCAGGTGTCCCCTGTGGGCTCGGTCCTCCCTGGGCAGAATCACGACATCCAAGTGACTTGGAAAGGTTTCAATGCCATACAAAGAGAGGTGGGATTTTTCCTTGGAAGGGGGAAGGCGTGGCGTGAGACATGAGCTAGGACCAGGGCTGGGGTCCTAAGCTTAACCCACCCCTCCCCCACCCCTGAGGGTCTTCAGTGTGGCTGACGGGGCGGTTCGGCAGCAGGGGCCTTGGCGGTGGGGGGCGGGTTAGGACTCTTATTTCCACTGTGGCTCGCTTGCACCAGGCCAAGCCTGCCTCCCCTCCACCCACGCTCCCCTCCGGCCCCCCTGAGTGTCACCACCACCCCAGCTTGTTGGAAGTCATTTGCATCTGGCTCCTTTCCCTGGGGATCTGCTGGGTCTCCTTCTACCTGCACTCCTGCTCGTGCCTCAGAACTTGGTCAGGATGAAGGTTCTCACCGTCCCTTCCTGTCCCCTCCAGGAGGAAGCCTCCCCGGCTGCTGATATCCCAGCCCCGCCCAGTTCCAGTGCTCCTGGAAGACCCCCGCAGTTATCAGGTTAGTGTCCCCCCGGAGCAACGTCCCAGGCCCGGGGGAGGGAGCGCCCCAGACTGCTTCCAGGAAGGGCTGGATCCTTGTCCTCTCAGCTGCCATTCAGTGGATGACCACACAGCCCCAGGGCCCATCCCTCCTGCACCCCCAACATAGGAAAGAGTGCCCTTCTCCCCGCCTGCTCCAGAACACCCGTGGGGCCGGGTAAATGTGGCTGGTTTCTGGGGGCAGTGAGTGTCCCAGCTCAAGTAGCACCAACCACGCCCCAGGAGAAACAGTTGGAATAACTCAGAGGTGGGTGGAGTGGCTCTTTTCAGAGGGTCTGCCTGGAAGGAAGCTGAGCTGCAGAGCCCTCAGGGACAGACAAAGGGCCCAGGGGCGGGTGTGAAGGGAGCCCCTCCTGGAGCGTGGCGAGGAGAGGGCTGCGTGGGACGTAAAGGGCTTTGCATCTCTAATGCCCTGCACGCAGATTCTGCGTGTGTTCTGTGGAGAGGCGTCAGATAGGCGGTTGGCCCAGATTCTAGAACAGCGATCCTCACGCTGGCCAGACCTCAGAATCCTCAGTGCTCTCCATAGTGTTCTTGCTTAGGGAAATGTCACACCCACAGAAAAGTTGAAGATACGGTACAAAAGAAGACCTGAGCACTTTTCACGTGAATCCACCAATTGTGAACATGTTACACCATGGGCTTGCCCTGCTCCTCTATTGACTTTTTTTTTTTGAGAGGTTGAACCACTTGAGTTATAGATTCATGATGCTTCACCCCACACTTCAGCATGTGTCTCCTGATAACAAGGACATTATTCTGCATAAGCCTAGTACAGTTGTTATACCTAGGACTTTTTTAACATTAAGATATTATTATAGAATGCATATTGCATATTCAAATTTCTCCAATTATCCTCCAAACCATCCTTAATGGCTTTTTGTCTTGTTTTGTTTTTCTCTCTAAGGGCCTATCAAGGATCTCCTATTAACCTAGGACGATTTTAAGCATATAAATTCCTAAGCCTTTGGTTCTGCTTTTTTAGGATGAGAATTAAGCTTAGGAACCTGTATTTCTAGGAAGAAAATTCCCAAGTGATTTTAATGGTCATGCTTGGTTTGAAATCAGTGATCTTTTTTTGATCATGAATCCCATAGAGCACCTTTATGGTGCTCTATGCATATTGCAAATATGCAAAATTATATGCATATTGCCCTGTTAATATATTATCACATTTAAAGACGTACACAAAAATAAAGGATGGGGTAAAAACAAGTGGTTCTAACATTTCTTCTTGTGGCCCGGGGCTCATCTCATGCGCCCTGTTTGTCTTTGCTTTGGAGCCCGCTGGTTTAACTGCCCTTTGGGGTCCCTGCCCACCCCCTGGGTGTGAGGATGGGCGGTCCTTTGATAATTATGCACAGGCCCCCTAGGAGCACAGACCCGGGTCCTTTGTGCGTTCACGGCTTTGCTCTCACAGCCCCTCAGCATGGGATTTCCCCCCCACACTAAGATTAGCCATTGCCCCAGAGATCGAAGGGTATGGAGTTGGGGGCCCTGTCCTAAGAGATTTCATTCTGCATATGGAAGGGGCTGGTCAAAGTGTTCATACATCTTTTTTCACTCCTTACCTTCTCCATCTAGGTCAGGAAGAAAAAGAAGAGTCCAAGGTAACCTTTTTCCCTTGTGCTATTTCACACGGGAGAGAACGGGAGAGCCTGGGCTGTCCGCCATGGGCGTATCTCCCTTGATGATAGAAATAGTTCCAAAGAAAGTGTTGACCAGTTGCCACCGTACCCACAGTCCATGGGCCAGGGGGCCCCTCCACAGCCCCCCGCCCCCAGGCACACGTTTCCTGCTCGCCCAGAGCTGGTGGGCCCGATCTCGCTCAGCAGGAATTCCTATCCAAGCACCAGTTGGGCTAGACGACCTCCGAAGACCCTTCATGTTACTTTTACCTCTTAGCCTCTCTCCCGCTACATACGGTGCTCCCTGAGCTACCCATAAAGCTGTGAGGATCCAGGACGTTGGTGGCAGAAGCCTCAGACACTCACGAGTTCCCTGTGCTCCTTCTCCCCCCAGGAAGTGAAGCTCAGTGTCCCCATGCCCTACACACTCAAGGTGCACTACAAGTACACAGTGGTCATGGAGACGCAGCCCGGACTCCCCTACAGCCAGGTCCGCGACATGGTGTCCAGGAAACTGCAGCTCCTGCCGGAACACACTAAGCTAAGGTGAGCGCCATGCAGGCAACGGCTAGGGGGCAGCTGGGGACGGTGCTGGCCTGGAGGACAGAAGGGGAGGACGGTCGTGCACTGCAGCTCTCTGACGTGGTGCTTCCTCATCATCCCCGCCCAGCTATCGGCCCAAGGACAGCAACGAGCTGGTGCCCCTTTCAGAAGACAGCATGGCGGCCGCCTGGGGCCAAGCGAAAAACTACTGCCTGACTCTGTGGTGTGAGAACACAGTGGTGAGTGCGAGGAGCCCGGGGCCGCCTAAAGCCGCGTTTCTGCTGGGCCGCTTCCTCGGCGGCAGCTCGGCATTTACCAGGCGCTCGTTTCCCTCTTCCAGCCTCGCTTCAGGCGAGGAAACCGAGGCTCGGAGGCTGCCGTGCTGGCCAGCAGGGGAGCTGGGGCGCAAACCTGGTCTTTGGACCCCTTGGCGCTGCTTCCGCTGCCTTTCGATACGGAGGCTCGGCCAGGGTTGGAGCAAAGAGCACGAGGCAGCGAGGACTTTTCACACACAAACGCTATGGCAGTCAGCCTCGCGGCTTCTGGTGGTGATTTCTGAAACCCTGTGATTCACATCTCTGGAAACTGCACCCTTCATTAATGGCCATGGCCTTGGAGAGTGTGGCTCCGCGCAGTGGTTCTCAAACTCTGGCAAGGTCCAGAGTTACCTACCTAGAGGTCTCGTCAGACAAGGGTGCTGGGCCGCACTCACAGGGTTCCAGATTTACCAGGTTTGGGACGGAGCTGCAAGTTTGTATTTCTAACCAAGTTCCTGGAGTGGTGGGCGCTGGGGAAAGGGTGTTGCACTCAGCTGGAGACCTAGGTTTGCCTTTGCGTTCTATCGCTCACTCCGCCTGTGACAATAGTACCCATTCTACCTTTTTAGGATTAATTGCTTGTTTTCGGTAAAACTTTAAGACGACATGCGGTCCTGCAAGCCTTTAGTTTCGGGTGCCCGACCATCCGGTGCTCACCAAGTACATTAGGTCTATGCCAGACACCGACCCCAAACCTGCCTTTGTGAGACTGTATCACAGGTGCGACACGGACATCCCGCCGACTGAGTCCTTTAGTGAGGGCGTCGCCGCTCCTGTCCAGGAAGTTAGGATAACTAACAGGCCCTTTATTGTTTCAGGGTGACCAAGGCTTTCCGGAGGAACCTGAGGGAAGTGAAAAATCTGAGGCTAATAACCAGACATCAGCGCCTCAGTTTAAGGAGGGGAGCCAAGTGGTAGCACTCTTCAGCTACGAGGCTACCCAACCAGAAGACCTGGGGTTTCTGGAAGGGGACGTCATCCAGGTTCTGTCCATGGGTGAGTGCTACTCCTGGATATTGGGAATTAACGGACGTGCCGGCAGGAATAAATTCAAGGGCAGAAAACATCACTAACCTGCCAAGGGAACTTTGGCCCGTGGTTCCAATCTCCTTCCCAGCTTTCAGCTGGAGGGAGCACATCTGAGTGCTCAGCCTTTGTCCACGTGTTGCTCTAGTGGACAGGGAAGCAGTACGTGGCGACTTAGAGGACATTTCAGTACATTCCCATTTACAGACGGCTATGTTTTAGAAGCCATGGACTCTCATTCTCGGAGTTCACCAAGTGGCAGGTGGCTGGAATCATTTTGCCTTCGCACCAAGTCGCGTGACACCTACCTTCCGCACACCACAGTTCTTTGGATAGATGCACTTTCAAAGATGAGGGTAGAAGAGGGTAAATTTTGTCTTAAAAGCAGTTATTCAGAAGCACTATGCATCTCTGGTAGCTTTCTGGATTCTGTTAGGAATCACATGAAAAATTGTAACAGTAGCGGAAAGTTTTAATTTAGTGCTTCAACTGCGGTACACCCGTGCATCCTGTGGAGAGTTTGTTCAAATTCCTTGGCCGGGCTCCCAGACGTGCCGACTCAAGTCTGGGATGGGACCCACAGGTTTGTACTTCCAACGAGCTTCTGCTCACTATGCCGAGTTCTCCAACTGGAAACAAAGGAGTGCTATCCACAGCTTTGTTCACATGGCTGAACTATGCATCAGCAATGCAAAGCAATCAAAAACAAATACTATAACAGAAAACCCAGCAGATTAACTGAGAGTGGGGTATTTTACAATTAATGAGGTAGACGGGGAGCACACAAGGACGTGGCAATTAACAGTATGTACGTACCTTCCTAAAGGGAGAATGGAAACTCAGTGATAAGAATTGGGTTTAGTAACTCCCTGTACTTGTTGCATTTTCTGTGTTACTATCAACCAACCAGCTAAACTGTCCAGAGCTTTCTGGGGGGTAGGGGGCGGGGGGGGTGATGAGATAAACACACAACACAGAAAAACTCTTTGGGTAGATAAGGAAAGTGGTGTTCTCCTTGCTGTAATATGTACAACAGTCTTAAGCTAATCCAATTGTGGAAATACCCCGTGTAATATTTTGAAGCTTTATCATAACACTTAAACAGAATTCAACATAAATGTTGGGTGGTGCTGGGGGTGAGTTCAACCGTGTGTGACAGTTATGAGATGGCTTCACTCACAAAGCTCCTCACACTTCAGTGTGAATTACCTGGGGACCTTGTTAGAATGGACTCCGGCTCGGGTTTGGAGTAGGGCCTGAGATCTAGTATTTCTAATATATCCCAGGACCTCGGACAGGTCGATGCTCTCAGCCCACGGCTTGTGTTATTAACAGACCTCCAACAGGGGCTGCCATCAGCAACGCCTTACGGGAACTTTAGGGACCACCCTGATGCCCGGCCATGCCCCTCGCAATTACAGCCGTTTCTGGCGTGGGGCCCAAGCCCCAGGCCCTCCTGTCTGATCTAGATGGAGCACATCCAAAGGTGGACTCTGAACGAGTGCTGTGGTCTGGCGGACGGGTTTTGGAGCTAGTCACACCTGAACTGTCTGAAATGAGCAGAATGAACCCGAACAAGCTATTAATCTCCAGGTCTCCTTTTCCTTAGTAAAATGGAAATACACCCGAGTTATTACGAAGTCTGAGTGTGTGTGTGTGTGTGTGTGTGTCCTAGCACTGTGCCTGGACTTTATCAAAGGCACAGAACTGCAGCTATTAAAATCCTCGCTTTACAAACATGGACCAAACACCTCACTAGCGCCCATTCTCCATTCTTGGACCACCCACTAGTGACCATTCATTAACAATACACTTAACCAATGGCATGTTCCTTCCCCAGGGTCAGAACAAAGGTTCCCAGCAAAGCTGATAAAACTCTTCTGTTAAAAAGTACCATCTAAAAGATCATTGCTCGATCCCTTTCATCTTGTTTCCCCGTGAAATGTCTTTCATTCATTCATTCTGCAGTTTACTGCTCCAGGATCACGCCCAAGGCTCAGGCATCAACAATGAGCTGGCGAAGCCCTATATTCACTTACCTTGAGTCCCTTTCCAACACCGACTCCTCCACTGGCACAACTGGGGGCGGAGGGCGGACCCACGACCTGTGTGCCACACCCAGGGCAAGGCCGTTTTACTAACACAGGTCTTACAAATCCGTCTCTACTCTCTTTCACCAGTGAACGACGACTGGATGGAAGGGGAGTGCAAGGGGAAGTTCGGCATTTTCCCCAAGGCTTTCGTGGAAGAACGTGCAGCTGCAGACCCCAGCGGCGCTCCTAGAGGGGTCTAGGGTGCCCGGCAACCTGCAGAGTTGAAGGAAAAAAGTACCATCTCATTTGTAAGATTGAGGACGCCTGAGCGGTGCACCATAGCGAGACCATTATGGTTTGGAAGTGTTCACTTTTTCCGGTTCAAATGGAACCGATCAGCGATGGGAGAGTTTAGGATTATGAGTCCCTTGGGGCGGGGTGGGGGGTATGGTCGGACGAGTCTGGAAGGGCACGACGGGTGGTTTCCTGCTGGCGCTGGCTACCCAGCTCTGTTCACTTTGTGAGAAACTCACCGAGTTGTACAGTTATTATTGGTGCACTTCTCTGTATGTGTGATAAAAATAAAAGTCCAAGATGCCCAGAGTGCAGGCCCAAGGCCTAAATGAAACTCTATTCCTGTAGGATCACATCACAGACCCCTGGGGCCTAAGTAACTTCCAGGTGACTCGGGAGGCACACACACAACATTAACTGGTCTTTACGTCTCCTGGCTTTAACAGAACCTGCACTGAGTTAGGTTCCCGTAAAGGTACTAGAATTGCATCCCTTCACACCTTCTCAGAAACATTGCTTAAGAGCTTAATGGGAATGTTTGCCACTAACACTTAACCGATGAAAAGGAGCCGTGTTCAGGCAGCCAGCTGGTTAACGGTATCCTCTTAATTAACACTTCACACTATGTACACCACCAGCATCCACGATAGAATGCTACGGTTTTAGTCACCATTTAACCAAACGGCCTCTTTTTCAGGGTTAACTTGGATGAAGGGTTCCATAAACACTAGACCCTAACCTCCCTCCTGCCCTTCTTATAGAGAATACAGGGCTTTGTAACAACTTTTCAAGTGTGCACATGCTTGTGAGAGACGAGAGTTAGGAGTAGGCTGACTCAACACCCGGGCGGAAGGCCTGGCTGGCCGCCACCGGACGTCCTGGACACACCTCGAAGACATGCGACCACAAAGCTGAGGGCAATCATTACTGTCCCTGCTCATCACTCCGTGAACTTTCCAGGCCAAAAGGATAAGCTATCTCTGAACAGCCCAGCAGAGAAAACAGGGATAAAAATGGAGGATGTGTTAACTCCTTTGCATAAGCCAATTCTTTATTAAATGAAAGAATTTTGTTAGGTTTTCTTCCCCTCCCTTCCCATGCAAACGTATGGTTGGTTTGGAAAACGCTACTAAAAGCAAAAATAACCCTGAGGCATATTTGACTTTGGACCATCTTTGCTTTCCTCTGGATGACTTCTGAATAGTTTCAAGTCTTGCTTTTTAAGTTGGATTTTCTTTTAGGGCAGAAAAGAAACCATCTATACACAGGTCTGGTTGGAGAGAACATGGTTTAATTAAAGGCAAAGCTGATTTCAGCAGCTGCAGGTCTTGCACAGACAGACCAAAACAAAACGAAAAACCCAAAACAAAACAGGAAACAAAACACAAAAGAAAGTTTACTACACAAAACCAGTTTCTGATGAAGACTCCCCTCTCCCTCCTCGTCACTGCACACTGAGGATGGTAAGGCGCGGAACCCGCCCCCCGAGTCAGAAAACATTCCGAACACCAAATGCTCATGCAGAAAGAGGGCTGCGGGGGGGGGCGCGGGCGCTCCTGGGAGCGGGGCGGCGAACCTGGTCAACTGGTCTAGGGTGCAAGAGTCAGTGACAGTTCACACACTGGAATGTTGCAGCTGCCTGGATGTGGGGCTCGAACACACAAAGTGGGGCACGGAAGCAGGACGGGGCTGGGGCAGGGCCGGAGAAAGGCGGGCACGGGGACGGGGCGGGAGAGAAGCACAGAGGGTTCCGTATTGCCACTGGGTTGGGGCGGCGGGGCGAGGCGGGGGGGGCGGGGGGGTTCACCCTTTCAGACCTTCCCCAAAAAACAAAAAAAAAACAAACAAAAAACCCGAACGCCATGTCCAACTGAAAGAGCAATGATGTCAGCATACGGGCCTCCCCCCACTCTCTCTGAAGAGCAGTGAGCACTCACGGCACCCCTTCCACTGCTGGGGCCGCGCAGACGCCAGTGGCGACAGGGGCTGCCCGTGCGCTGCGCCCCGCAGCCACTTCCCCGCCCCCACACCCACCCAACCGCGCACACTCGGACACGCCGCCCCCTCCGGAGCGCGTGCACGCCCACGCACACACAAAGGCGAGGCCTGCGGAAAAATAAACCCTACCACCAGCACAGCAATTGGACATTTAGATTGTTTCCATAATTTCCCCTTAAAATACCACTTTTCCAGGAAATGAATAACAGAAATGCTGTCCTTCTGTTTGTATACAAGAAAAATTTCAGTCCTTTCCTCCTAATAAATATCAAATAAGAGTTCGTTTTCCTTTCTTCCACCTCTTCCAGAGTGGACCTCGTTGTGTTTTCTTCTGTGCATGACGCACACGCGTCCACGCTGCCTTGGGTTTCCCTCTGGAAGCGGCGGCTGGGGCCCCGCAGCTGGGCGCGCCCGCCCCCCTGTTGCCGCACGGACGCCTCTGCTTCCGTCCTCCTCACGCTGCCTTTCGGGCCCCGCTGCTGGAGCCGTGCTGTTGCTTCTCGGTGCGATGTGGTGCACATCGGGAACAGAGCCAATTACTAGCATATAGCAGAGGGCAGAAAAGGGACGGAGCAGGGGTGGGAGGAGGGGTGGGAAGAAGGACGGGGGCACAAAAACCAACCAAACAGAAAATAACCACACTGAGAACTTCTACCTATTAAATGTCAGGCCCTGAATGGACTAGCCTGCCTTCTGTGACGCTGCTTGCTCTGCTAACGCAAAATGTACAGGAACCCAGGACGTTCATTTAAAACCCCACGGCGGCCACCTGCGGGCCTGGCCCAGCACCACCACCTGCGCTGCATCCTCGGCTGGGGCTCGAGCACCTGCAGAGGGAAGGGCATTTCCTGCTGAAGTCTCCAGGCCAGAGGAGGGCCTCCCGGAGCCTCGGAGTGGAAGGTGAGGCCTTGGACTCGCCCTTGTGGACACTTCCACTGGCCGAAGAGGCCTGCTTCCCCATCCTGTCACCACCAGCCTTGCACAGGAGCGGTGACCGGGGCTCTCCTTGCTACACACTGACTAGAAGAAGCACATCTGTGTATGGAAGAATTCAGTGTGACTTTTTACTACTGAGAGAAATAACAACAATAAAAGATGTTTAGGAGTAATTTCAACTACATTCTCAGTCAGCAAAGCAATCATTAATGGATTCCTATTTTATTCCCCAAAGAGGAGAAAAGGACTGAGAAGTTCCCATTGGCTTCTCCCACCTGCCTTCCCTTCTCAGCTTTCACTGCCCACGTGGCTGGGGACATGCACGACGGAGAAGGGGAGAGGCGGTGCTATCAGGTAACCGAGCAGACGAACAGCAGTTCCTCTCCCTCTGGAAGGCCCCGGGGCGGGGGGGCGGAGAGTTCCTGACGGCGTTTCGTTTTGTTGCACTGCGGACATTTCGTGCACACTCAGCGGGCTGGTGGGACACTTACACCCTCTCGACAGCAAGGAGCAGAAAAGAGGGCTGCCACCTGCAGGGGACTGTGTGGGCCAGTCCTGCATGCCCAACATGCCATGGTTTATGGAGCCTTCATTCCCAGGGTCGCCACTTCGGCCTCAGTGTGGAGGGTTCATGGTGCCTTGTCCCCGCTGCTGTTTCTGCTTCTGTTGCATTAACAGCTGCTCCAGAGCGGAAGGTCCAGGGTGCATCATGGAACTGGACCAGATAGACTGAAAAACAGCCCAGAGCTTGTCAGCAGAGGTCGAGTGCCCGGCTGCCTGGAAGGATTTGGTTTTCAACCCCAGCCAGATATAAAGGCACAACGTCCCACGACCTCCACCCCCTAAAAAAAATCCACCTACTAGAAAAGGGCACTGAGAGACTGCCTTCAACCTTCAAGACTAGTTAGATCCCATTAATATTTAGACCAGAAAAACTAAAAACTACGTTTTATGTGAAGTCTTTTTACTAAAACTCAGCTCTGTGTAGGACCAGAGGACTTTTACTATTAGATACCATTCTGTCACTTGCTCAGAAGAGGCTTAAATCAAACATTCCAAGAGGAACCAAAATTTTCTTAACTTCAGAATGCAACTCGGTAGGACCTTTGTGTCTCTGTCCACCTCAAGATAATGCTTCATCATTAATAAATTCACAAATAAGAAACAAAGATCCCATTCAAAATTCTTACAAGGCAGGCCACATTTCTAGAACTTTGCTAGACATGTGCTATCATCAAGCGATCCATTCTAAGGGCCTTAGGGACGAACCTAGCTCCTTGGGTGAAAGAAAGCCGAGGCTCGCGGCCCTCGCTCCGAAGCGCACTCACCTTCAGGCTTTCCATGAGGACAGCAGAGGAGTCCTCCATGGAGGGGCCGTGGCCTGTCCAGGCGCCACTCGGAGTGCTGGTCTGGTGCCAGCTGCTCTCAGCTGACGACGTCGCTGAGAGGTAATCAATGCCAAACCCGCCCATGGCTAAGGGATGAAGAGAGAGAAGAATTCAAGATATTTTGCCAGGTGCCAAAAGCCAGGGAAAGAGAGAGTAAGTTACCTCTCTCCTGTGAAGTCTGGGCCTCACCTGGCTTATCTGTTTTCCACCGATCTGCAGCTCTCCTCTCCCTGTTGTCTGGAGTCCCAATGGGCCCAAAATTAGAGAACGGAACAGAATTATGGTTGTGTGTCGGCGGGGAGCTTGGGAGGCTGCTTGGGTTAGAGGAATGAGGAGACTGGCTGGCTGGTGTCGAATGATCTATTAAATAATAGCAAAAGAGAACAAGAAATAGACACGCTGTTTCACAAACATACTAAAACCTAGTTTCCTGTCGATCTGATTATTTAAATTCTACTAAAAATAACCACAGGACTTTGGAGGAAAGGCAAAATAAGGGCCCCAGAAAGGACTCTGCTAGATGCACCAATCTGTTTCACTGAATTTATCTAGGAACACTCCTTGCCCTAGAGCAGAACAAAACAAAGCAGCAGCCAATTCAGCCCAGCGCACGCGCGAACGTGGCATGCCTGTTTCAGATGAAGTTCTGCTGGTATTCTATATAAAAAATACTGGGTTGGCCAAAAAGTCTGCATGGCTTTTTCCATAAAAGAAAAGACATGTTTTTCCATTTTCACCAATAACTTTATTGATTTGGATACTGTGAGTACATCAGCTATCTCCTGCATGGTATGATGCTGACTATTCTCGATTAATGTCTTGATTTGATTGCTATCAACTTTAACTGGTCTACCTGACTGTGGAGCATCAATCATCCAGAGAGAAATTTCCAGCACGAAACTTCGCAACCACTTTTGAAACATTCACGCAGTCATAGCACCTTCTCCATACTCGGCACAAATCTTTCTGTGCGTTTCAGTTGCATTTTTACCTTTCTTGAAATAATAAAGCGTAAAATGCTGAAAATGTTGCATATTTTCTTCCACCTTCAATGTTAAAATGGCTACACAAAAATTTACCGACTTTGACAAGTCTTTTTTTTAAATGCAAGCTAATATGACAGCTG